TTTTTAAAATAGATGCATCTGACTGGTCGCATTTGAATTGAGGCGCGTAATAAATAATGATACTGTTCTGTGAAGATGTGCTGTTTTGTCTTTTTTCCCCATCCCATCGAGACCGCTATGTCCGAGACCTAGACAAGACCGAGACCAAATAGAGTCGAGACCAAGACAAGACCGAGACCACAAAAAAAAAATTGGTCTCGAGACCAAGACCGGTCTCGGGAACTACAGCACTAGCTTTAGGATTGGCAGAAACGGTTCAATTGTACAGAGGATATACTACAAACCACTAGAGGGAGCTGAAGTATCGCATCATACCAGGTCTATATGTAATTCTCTATTTTGGAATGAAAGGAAATGTCTGCAAATGGTACAGAGGATATACAGTGACTCTACAGTATTTTCTGTTTTGGGATTAACAGATGTGCCCATGAATGATACAGGGGATATTCTGTGAATCTACAGAATTTTCCATTTTTGGGCTAAAGGAAATGTCTGTAAATTTAATGTAAAATGTACTGGTAATTTTCTGCCAAGACTATCCATTTTTTTTCCCTTATAGTGTAGCCCTATGCAGAACATTAGGTGTTGTGCAGTGTCTTCATTACAAACATGCCTTCAAATTGACAACAGATGCCTGGGAGATGCAGGCTTCCATGCATACAGACATTTGTGTTAGACCACATGCATCTGGTCTGTCTAGGAGTGGGCAGTGGTGGCTTAATTTGTTAGGGTAGTGCACTCGTGATTGCAGGTTTGAATCCCTGACCAGCATGGCACCACTGAGATACCCTGAGCAAGGTACTGCTCCCTGAGCGCTGAATTAGCTGCCCCCTGCTATGTCACATATGGATTAAATGCAGAGAACACATTTTGTTGTGGTCTGCCAACAATGATTATTAATCACCAAATTCAAATAAATGTTTACTGACCTTCCTGAAACAGGGTTGAGGAGAATATAAACTGTCTCAGAGACAAATTGGTGAAATCTCATCCAAACTTGTCTTTTACTTGTGCATTACACCAGTACATTCAAAATATTGTACCCTGAAGGTGGTGCAGTGTATCAGGATAAGAATGCACCAATACACACAGCAAGACTGGTGACTGAGTGGTCTGATGAACATGAAAGCGAAGATGAACATCTCCCATGGTCATCACATCTGAATATTATTCAGACACTTTGGGGTGTTTTGGAGGAGCGAGTCAGGAAATGTTTTCCTCCATCAGCATTATGTAGCGAGCTGGCCACTTTTCCACAAGAGGAATGGCAAAAAATCCCTCTGGCCACTGGGCAGGACTTGTATCTGTCATTCCCAAGATGAAGGTCCTTCTTCCTGTATTTACCGCATAGCCCAGGACACAGGACCTTCTTCCTGTATTTACCGCATAGCCCAGAACACAGAACCTTCATCCTGTATTTACCGCATAGCCCAGAACACAGCACCTTCTTCATGTATTTACTGCATAGCCCAGAACACAGAACCGTCATCCTGTATTTACCGCATAGCCCAGAACACAGCACCTTCTTCCTGTATTTACTGCATAGCCCAGGTACAGGACCTTCTTTCTATATTTACCGCATAGCCCAGAACACAGCACCTTCTTCCTGTATTTACTGCATAGCCCAGGTACAGGACCTTCTTTCTGTATTTACCGCATAGCCCAGAACACAGCACCTTCTTCCTGTCTTTACCGCATAGCCCAGGTACAGCACCTTCTTCCTGTCTTTACCGCATAGCCCAGGTACAGGGCCTTCTTCCTATATTTACCGCATAGCCCTGAACACAGCACCTTCTTCCTGTATTTACCGCATAGCCCAGAACACAGCACCTTCTTCCTGTATTTACCGCATAGCCCAGAACAAAGAACCTTCTTCCTGTATTTACTTTCTTACTCCCACCACGGACACACCTGACCAATAAGCAGAGGGAACATTCTCACGTGGTTTGTAGTGGCGCATTGTTACTTCATTTGGATTTTTCTGCCTGAAAGCAAACCGAACCAAAGGGCAAATGCTGCAAGTTTACAAACTGATCAACTGACCAGAGGAACCGAATTATAGGTGTAAAAAAGCCCGAAGTGGCTGCTTAGGTGCCAGCAGGTCCCCCCACATCTGATCAGCCAGTAGGAAATAGATGACAAACGACAACTACGTTAATGCGAAAGGTAACGTTAGGTAGACGTCTCGTAAAAAAGGACCGAGCCATCTGGCGCAGGAAAAAAAAAAGACTGCAGCAGAAAGAAGACAAAATGGGAGTAATTGTATTTTTACTTTTTCATTTATTTTATTTAGGCACCCAAAAAGGGTTGGGCCTGCCCTGAGGGAACCAATGATTGACAGTTTCATTTGGCAGAATATAGTCCTTTTTTTTACACTTTCATTACACATTAATATGGATGTTCCATTGCAACCCACCCTTTGCATACAAACATTATTGGTTTTCTAGTTCCTCACAATAAACACAATGCTCCTTATCCCTTAATTGGCATGTACTTCTCTCTTTTGGCTAAAGGCACAGTTTGACTTCATATCATAACTTCATATCATGATTCATATTCTGATTAAGCCAGGTTTGGATAATTTGAACGCGGGATAGAGGGGCTCAGTGAACACAGTATGGACCCTGTACAGGAGGGTCATCGTGTCAGAGACATTGTAGAAGGACAGAGTTCCTGCACTGTGATCCAGGTACACCCCTATTTTATAAGTGAGGGGTCCTGATATTGCAATGCTCCTCCAATTGTGCCAGAAGTAGTACTTGGTAGGAGTGCACTGCAAACTCCAGGACTGGTCATTGAATCCAAGAGAGGCTGGCTTGCTGTCTCCTTTCCTCCTCATCCCTTTATATGCAACTGCTACATTAACTCCTTTTCCATTCCACCCGACCTCCCAGTAGTGTCGTCCCGTCAGACCCTCTTTGCAAAGAACCTGGTGCCAGTAGTCAAATCTCTCTGGGCAATCTGGGTATGCCTGCTGGGTCCCGCCGGAGGCAGCCTGTCTGTGTCCCTCGTCCAGGTGGAGTGCCTTGTGTGCCGTGTTGAGGTCCATTTTAAGTTGACAGGAATCTTACGCAAAAGAGCAGGAAGAGAGAGGATTTCAGTAAAAATGTGTGTGCACGATGGGGGGGGGGGGTCGTGCAGATAAATCACAGCGGTGTGTAGTCACGTTTCAAGCAAACTCATTCAGGCAAGTGGTTTCTTATTCTGCAGCTGAGTTTCATTTCGATCTTAAGATGCTCAGACTGCAATACCTGACCACATACCTAGGTGGAGCCATTCCATAAACTAAATACCTGTTATGAGCAGTTCAATTCCAGAAACTGAGAGCTGGTATGATGCGATACTTCAGCTCCCTCTAGTGGTTTGCAGAGGGTTCTCTGTGTTTAAATAGCAGTCATTATGGTGATTCCCCGACAGGCTATTCTTTTATGATGTGTTAGTGAGCTCCCTCTAGTGGTATGCGGAGGTACCTCTGCATTTTAACGTCAGTCATTACGGTGGTATGCAGACAGCCCAATCTTTTCTGTGGTAGTACACGGCATAAAAAGCTTCATAACCACTTCCCTGTTCCCAGGTGGTTATGCCCACCATTCTGCCCAGTGAAGGTCTCCCAGGGTGCAGAAACATCATTAATAGTACAAGTTATCCCTATATGTCCCATAAGATATTGTCTTTCTAAATTAGGAGCTTCCAACCCTTGATGTCCATGGACTGGTTCTTGTCATACATAAATGTCACGGACGGGTAAACCTTGTCAACTTGTCTTTTTCTTACCTTTCTAGATGAGACTCAGAGGTTGTCAAAAAATAATGAATTTGCTTTAAAATTACACTGCCCATTTATTGAAATGGCCCAACCCCCCCCCCCAACTTTTCCTTGACCCGGTGGAATACTGGGCAGAGCCCAATTCCCAGTCACCCCTGTATGAAGGGTCTGCGAGGCTCCCAGGTGAAATGCGCCGTATATCCTGCTTGTTTAACATAATGGCGACTGCGGGGGACATATGTGATGCGATTATGTATTTGTTCATAGACGATCTTAAAAGAAACTGCAATGGACCAAACTACTGCAACGGCTCCTGATCGATTACTATCACAGCGCTGTCGAGAACATCTTAAGCTACTGTGGAACAAAATGGTATTCTCACTGTACCGCTACTAATCGGAGAAGCATGCAGTGGCTAGAAGAGACGGCACAGTGCATCTTCGGTTCTAGAAATCAATGTCAGTCGCTGCGAGGACAAGGTCTGCAGCAACACTGCAGACCCATCCAACCCGGATATTCCTTACAGAACTCTTACCTTCAGTCAATCCCTACATGTCCATCCATGCCTGCGCAATAAGGCTGAAAAGCAGCTTTTCCCCACTGTAGCCGTTGCCAGACTGCCCCCCCCCCCCCCCCCCCCCCCCCACCCCTTGTCTTTGAAATTGATACACCTACCTCACAGCAACCTGCAATACGATCCATGGGTTCAACTATAGTTCGCTCTGAAATTTGCAACCAGGGATGTTGGAGTGGCACGGATACCCCGGCAGATTCAGAAGGCCTGGCAGTTTATAGGGGCCTCAAATTTAACATAACCACCACTCCCCCCGCCCCCCCTCACTCAGCAAATTCTACTGTGGGGGGGCCCAAGGAGACATTTTTTCAGAAGGGCCAGAATCTAGCTATGCCCGTTTCCAAATCTTTGTTATGAAGAAATAATGTAAATATATTTATGGTGTCATGTATATGTGTGTATATATTTTCTGTATTTATTGTCATTGTCTATTCATATTGTATATACAGAAGCTCCTCCACTTACAAACTTTCAGACATACAAACAAAGAGGACTGCGTAAGTCCAAATTGTGTTCCTTGGGCTCCCGTTTCCTGTCCGTAACATCAATTTTTTTTTCTGCGCGCCAATTCCTCCTAGTATGACTTCTGGCCGCTATTCTCGCCAAGCAGCAGCGTAGCATGCGTACTCCCAGCATCTAGCTAGTTCTTTGTACTTGCACATACCCTTAAAATGATGTTGAATAATGACTTACGAACATTTCAAGCAACGGCCGTTCGTAACGTAACTCATTCGTAAGTAGAAGAGCGTCTGTACTGCACTGCTAAAGTGCTGCCGTATGAGAATCCACTGCTGTGTAATGACTATGAGGATTTATATTCTTAGTATTCTTACACTGTAAAAACTCTTCTCTGGTCTGCGGCTCTTCACCTGGAAAAAGATGGAGAGATTGGGTTACCGCATTCTTCCTCAGAACAGACTCAACGCAGTGCTGCTGTAACAATTCTGCATGCTCTGTGCTCCGGGAAAGACACGCTCACCAGAGCCGGATCCCACTGGATTAGCACCTTCACGTCTCTGCATCTCCTCCTGATTGTTGGGCTGATGGGACAAAAACCATTCAGGGCACCTCAAAGTTAGGGTCACAGCTAGATTGATGTCAAAACGAGGAAGCGTGACACAGTTTCACTGTCATGAAATAATGCTCCGCAAGGACCACAGTGTGACACTGACACACCAAGTGACTAAGGTGAGGAATTTTACAGTATTTTAAAGGGCAAAATGCAGGACACTAACATGGTCAGTGAGTTGTCAGATGTTGTTGATTGTTGGGGGGGGGGGTTGAGAGTTAGAATTTTATCTGACAATGTTACTTGGGGCCCTTTATTAGTGTAGGCTCAAGTGCATTAAATTAAACTTTTTTTAAGGGTCACCAAAGGGCTGATATATTTGCCCTGATCCAAACACCTCCTATCCCCACCCCCACCACCCCCCTGCTTCTGAATACCTCTATATTGAATACATACGTTATGAGAAAAAGGGTGGACGCAACTTCTTTTTTTTTTAACCTCTAGCCACCAGATACTTGCACCTGGGGCAAATTTGTTTGCCCAATTAAGTATTATTCAAAACCTGAACGAGGTGTGGCTGGATGGAGTAGGCGTAGCTCGATTTCAGCATTCATTAACGCCACACGAGTTATCACGTGGCTGACTGGTAAAGATGGGGCACATAGTGTTTTCTCAGAAACGTGTGAGCGGAAGACCTCACTGCTTAGGGCGACTACATTGTCTTATATGTATTTACAGAATGCAGCGATTTGAATCGAAGCCAACTTTGGATCAGGGAAAGGCACATATACTTATTGCTAGACCTGGAAAGGCATTAAACTAACAATGAGAAAACGCGGTGCTGGTTCGCGATCCTAAATGCTCTTCGCCGGAAGAGTGTCTTAGCCCTGGTTCCGGAGATATTTTCAACAATATATTAACATCAGCAAATATAAAAATCAGTAGTTCGGAAGGATAAAAAGAAGCAAAGTTATAAATTTTAATGTGGAGGGTCGAATTTGAAGATCTGTATTGAGTTTTCAGAATGGATCAGAGACGGGGATGTTAAGCGGAGGCTCAGTCCCGCCATCGCGCAGTATTATTCAGCCTGCCCTCCAACAGATACTGCCTAGCGGGACTACTAAAATAAGATCTAATAAAATAAAGCACTGTATCTAAACCAAATCAAAAACACTATATCCGAACGAATCCCCACTCTGAGACAATACCGATAACTCTGCTACAACCAAGACAAAAATGGTTTCATTTTGACGCCTAAGAAAACGAAACCAAACCGGTTAACACGCTAGTTTAAATTTTCCGAAAGATTTGTAGCGCTTGGCAGACCGGGGATACAGTATGGTGGGGAAAAATATAGAAATTACGGTTTTACCTGTGCTGGAAAGGATGAATTCAGAGAAGAACGGATGATTTTAGCGACGAAAATGCGGGAGAGATACAACACTTGTTTCTTCCTGGTGTGTTTTCATCGGTACCGTTTTCTTCGATCGCCCGCAAATATACTAATACAAGAACCAAGGTGGAATAAATCTCCGTGGGACTTGGGTCGAGTGATCCTCTTCCAAGTGATTTTATGAATCATCCTCTGGTGACTCCATACATTTACGCAAAGCTTTTGCTTTGGTGCAGCCCAAATATTTACGTATGACTAACTCTAAAGTGAAGTGTAGCTTGCCCCCTAGTGGCGATAACTGCACACATCTCCGAGGCATCGGTCATTATTTATGGGATGATTTACTTCGCACTCCAGTATGTCCTATAAATATGGCAGGAATGGAATTTAGAATCAGTGATATAAATATCCACAGACAGGACATAATCCTAATCTAAGTGCACATTAACAGGCATCTTCGGAAATAACTACTCAAAAGGCTGTAACAGAGGGAACAAAACGTATATAAAAACCATATATGTACCATGCAAATGTATGAGAGATGATCATTAGTAGACTAATGTACTGTAGGTGGGGCATATATGTATACATGTCCATGGACAACAACATCAAATTAAATGCTATTAAATGTCTCATTTGAGGAGAGTCCGCGCACGCTCCTCCGAAGGCGCGCGCACACAAACTTTTCACAGCTCAGCATTTTCTTTGCAGGTGGAAACCGAAAACGTCTGATTTCCTGTTTCAGTTTCTGAACTAAGCTTGAGAAAGACTGTCATCAGCGCTCCCTCTAGCAACTCAAATTATGATCCACATAAAAATAGATTATTATTATTATTAGCCTATTAATATACTATTATTATACGTAGTAGGTGTAGTAGGATATTATTACAAAGTCATATTTAGCCCTGTCTTTATCGCATGTTCATTTTTGAATATTTTTAAAAACCTCCCGGCTCATTTACCTCAGTTTCTCTGCAGTCTTCGGAACACCTTGACTTAGCTGATGTTTTTTCCCGTTTTTTATCTTTCAACTGCAGGTTGAATATTTCGTACTTATGTTTAACTACCGGCTCGACCATAGATCTCCGCAACAGAATAACCCCTAAACTAAATTTTAAAGCAGATTACCAGAGTTGTCTCTCTTTAAAAATAATCTTTATTCCGTTATGTCATGTGCATCCCATATATAGACACCAGAATGCCTGCATAAACAGCCCGGCATGCATTTTGCGTCTAGGGCTTTTTTGCGGACGTTTTGCGTCGCCTTGCGCTAAATTTCCTACCTTGGTCATCTTTCCTATTTCCCGATCCCTGGCGTCGCGTCAGTTCTGCAATCTCAATTTTTATATAGCCAAACCTGGGTGTATGTCCGGACGGCGACATTAACCCTGAGGTCCAACCGACGGAAGCAGGATCTGTTCGGCATAAGGTTTCACTTCAGTGCTTGCGTCAGTCTTGCGTTTTATTCTGGGCATAACCCGGAAATCCGCGTTTAAGAAAAACAGAACTCATCAGTGGTTGTTTCAGAGGCAGCGGAGGCTGCGTGCAGTAAAAATGGCAGAAGCTGTAGACTTCCTGAATCAGGAGCAGTTCAGCTGTCCGATCTGTTTGGATCTACTGAAGGATCCAGTGGCTATTCCCTGTGGACACAGTTACTGTATGAGCTGCATTAACAGCTACTGGGATAAGGAGGATCATGATGAAGTTTACAGCTGCCCCCAGTGCAGACAGACCTTTACGCCAAAGCCTCTTTTGAATATAAACATCATGTTGTCTGAAGTGGTTGAGAAACTAAAGAAGAAAACATTTCAAGACTTTTCTCCTGCTGACCATTATGCTGGACCTGGAGATGTGGAGTGTGACGTCTGCACTGGGAGAAAACACAAAGCTGTCAAGTCCTGCCTGGTGTGTCTGGCCTCTTACTGTGAAACTCACCTCCAGCCTCACTATGAGTCTCCAGCTTTTAAGAAGCACAAGCTGATTGATGCCACTGGACATCTGCAGGACAAAGTCTGTCCCCACCATGAAAAACCCCTGGAGGTCTACTGCCGCACCGACCAGCAGTGTATCTGTTATCTCTGTACCATGGACAAACACAGAGGCCATGATAATGTCTCAATCACCACAGCAAGAACTGAGAATGAGGTAAGACTTGGAAATCCTCATTATTGTTTCAGATATTAAACTTTTAGTTATCAACAAATCATTGACTAAGTATTGATTTTATTTTCTGGCCAATAAAGGTGAAATCAGAACAGTGAAATACATGTGTTAGCTACCTGAATGTGTTTGTCAAAAATCTTTTTGCATAAATCAACAACTTTAGATTTTCCCCCATAATAGCTGTGTGATAGTGTTTTGTAACAAAAATGATGGTCAGTTTTCATCTCTCTAATAAGCCCTCTACAGCTCCAGAAATAAATGTTTGTATTATGCAAGTATTTATGAAATGTTGCCTTTAATAATTACCTATTGGCAGAGATATCAAGAAAATGAAAATCAAGTGATACGGAAATTCTTAGTGTATTGTGCAAAAAACAAAGATGAGCTGAAATCTTATGTGTTATAAATGATATGAACCTCTCTAAAGAGACAGCTCAGGACAACACAAAAGACAATTCAACAGAGGATCCAGCTGAGAGGCAAGGAGTTGCTGGAACTGAGAAAGGCTTTGGAGTCGCTCACAGTGAGTAGGAACTGACGGGGAACGTTTCAGCTTTGTGAGCTGTTCAGTCAGCCAGTGAGGAACACAGAGGCCTCGTGTGGAACTAGCTACGTAGCCTGATCATGGAACCTCCCTTCCCTTCTTGTAGTGCTCGGCACAGACGGCGGCGAAGGACAGCGAGAGGATGTTCAATGAGCTGATAGACTCTGTCAGGAGGAAATGCTCGGAGGTGAAAGAGCTGGTGGGAGACCAGGAGAAGACAGCAGTGATTCGGGCCAAAGGGTTGGTGGAGAAACTGGAGCGGGATATTCTACAGCTGAAGAAGAGAGAGTCGGAGCTGGAGAAGCTCTCACAAACTGAGGATGACATCCATTTCCTTCAGGTGATTCCACAGAATACGCAATAAGTAACAAAACGATTGTTTATTTACCATTTATAGACTTGCATTGGAATGCTACTTTTCGCACATCTTGCTCTCCTTTGAAACCTACACACAGGGGTGTCGATAGAGATTCTGGGGCTCCTGGCAAAATGTCACTCCCTAATTATAAATATTCAAGGGCCCCTGTAAGACACTGCCCCTCCTGAATATACCAGGGAATCGTGCCTCTACATACAAACACATACAGTATATACAGTTTGGAGTGAAGCTTAGGGTTTGAGCACAGGGTGAAGCCATCTATCCGGAACCCCTGGAGCATTTTGGCGGGGAGTAATGGCCTGGTTCAAGGGCCCAGTGGAGCTATGCTAGTCTGCTGAGGACAGGATTCGAACTGGTAACTATCACATGACAGGTACAGAGGCCTTTCATCCCCCCCCCCTCACACACACACACCCCCCCCACACGTTTCCCACACACACCATTCATCTGGCCAAGACATTCCACTGAACATATTCCGCTGTAATTTCCCACAAGTTGTTTTTCAGCCAGTCCCCGGAAGCTGACTTGCCCGCATCTCCCTGCAGCATCACCCGACTCTCTGCGCTCTCCCTGGGACGGGGGTCTTACCCACAACGCCAGTCAATCAGAAGCAGTGCTGTTTCAGGGCTGTGAGCGCCGCCGTGAATAAGCTGAAGGACAAACTGAGGGACAAGCTGGAAGAGGAGTGCAAGGAGATCCTGGAAATGATTACGGAAGAAGGTAGGTACGAAAGCCGGAACTATTATGTCAAGTTAATTTATAATAATAATAATAATAATAATGAAATCCAGGAGAGACCTCACAGTAATAAAGTGTTCCGTTGTACTGTCTCCAGGACCCACAACCAGAGAGGAGTTTCTGAAATGTAAGTTAAAGAGTAACTCAAAATGCTTAATGACCTAAAGGTCACAGGGGGCAGATGACATCATGACTGTTTTTTTTTTTTATTATTATTATTAGCTTTGTACTTTGAGATGCAGAGTTTGTGTGTGTGTGTGTGTCAGAGAGAGAGAGAGAGAAAGAAAGAAATGTGGTTTATTATAGAAACTATAAAGAAACAGGAAATGGCAGCACTCACCCAGGCCTATGAATACATGTGGAATTTGTCTGACGGGGTCGATGCGTCGCCCGTGTGATCAACCCGAAGCTGTTGACGAGCATGTCGGTACAGGATAAAGATTGTCTGTCGGTGGTTGTTGACATGATCCGTGACAAAGAAAAATCTCTGACCGGAGAGTATGAGGCGGGGGGGGGGGGACACCCAGCCGGCCTCGGTGTGGCTGCCAGAGAGTGTCTTCCTGGCTGTCCCCTGCGTGCTGCATCAAGAGGGGGGTGTACGGGGGTGACGGTGCTGACCTCGGGGTTTCCTGACCGAGTGGCACCGTTCGCTGGGGTTCCTGCTGGGAGGTTCCTGCTGTTGGGTTGCATCAACCCGGCGACGCATCAACCCTGTCAGACAAATTCCGCATGTACTCATGGGCCTGGGTGAGTGCTGCCATTTTCTGTTTCTTTACAGTTTCTGTACTAAACCACATTTCTCTCTCTCTGCGTAACATGCACACAGTCTCTGCCTCATGAAGAACAAAGTCAAAACAAATACCCCTCCCAAAAAAAATATATATACAGTATATATATATACAGTGGTACCTCAGAACTCGAATTTAATCTGTTCAGAACTCCGGATCGAATCCTAAAAAGTTTGAGTTGTGATCGAATTTTCCCCATAAGAAATAATGGAAAACCAATTAATTGGTTCCCAGCCCCAAAAAATTACACCTAAATATGTTTTTTTTTTTTGCGTTTAAATACAAAATGAACCGGATAAAACAAGATGAGTATATACTGTACTAAACACATCTAAGCACATTTATCAAAACAGTAATTTGTAAAGTAAAAAAATAAATGTATCCAAACAATGTGTCCTGCCCTGATTGTCCGCTCCTTCCATGTGCCACGACCCCTCATTAACCCCATGTGGAATCCCCGTGTGATCAGCTGTTTCTGGTTGTTGTCATTAGTCCTCTGTATTTTGTCCGTGTTTCAGTTTGTTTCCCCAGTCCGGTCATTGTATTGTCCGTCTGCGTTTTGCCTGCCTTACCTGTAATTAAACCCCATATTCCCCGATACCCTGACGTCTGCGCCTTTATCTCTGTTCTGTCCCCGCTCGGCACAACAACATTATCATAATTAAACGTATTAATGGTTTATTAATAATGTATTTTTACTGTCTAAATATATGTATTCAGCTAGTGTAAACATGCACGGTGCTATCACAGCGTATGCGAGGCTGAGACTGAAACATTACCCTTTGTTTCAGCTGAGAGACGTGCCGCGTGACTCATTTCCCCGCACGTACAAGATATGTTCGGTTGGCGTTCACGGTTTGACTTCTGAGGTTCAGATCGATCTCTAGGCAATTTTTTTTTTGAACTGGTTGGTTCGACTTTTAAGAAAATCAAGTTCTAATGAGTTCGAGAACTGAGGTACCACTTTGTGTGTGTGTGTATATATATATATATATATATATAATTTTTTTTGTCCATGATATTTCTTACATTCGATATTCTTGCATCTAAATAGTAACCGGTGTAGTTACGTCACTAGTCGTGATGTCATCTGACCCTGTGACCGGGTCATGAATCATTTTGACATAAGCCTTTTACTCTCTTCCGTTTCTTCAAGTATCCCCAGATTCTTAGTGCATGGCTTATTAAAATGTATATTAAAATATGAATATGTTTGTTTGGGATCAGCAAACAGAAACAGGGGTGCAGAGTTTCTTATAAACACAAAAGTTACTCAAACACTAAAAATCATCAAAATCCAGAAGTATATCCAAGAAAGGAAAATCCAGGGCCCTATAATATCAGGTCAACAAAACAGAATGAAGCCAAAATTAAGGCATAACATAACTCAACCTACACGGAACATAACTGACCTAACAAGTAACGCACTGGGGAAACATTTATCAGTCCATCAACACACACCAGCGGGAAACAGCACAACAAGACTTACACCTCCATGCAAAACAAAATCGGTAAACCTAATAACATATTTGGGCCATCAAATATACAATTTTATAAAGAAAAACTAAATAAAAAATAGTAACTAGAAGAAAATAAACAATTGTGCCAGAAAACAATGGTAACAGTAAGGTACAAGGGTGTATTTAATGATAATAAGGTGATGAAAAGTAAGCCAACCAAATAATAATCAATAAAATGCACCAAACAATTGGTCAATATGCATGTATAAATGCAGCAGAAAAAAACAGAGTTTTTTTTCTGCTGCATTTCATTGGCTTGGTTTATAGCATCTCCACCTCACATTCATGCTCAGTGCAGCTTTTAAGGATTCAGGGATTCTTATTTGTCACATGCAGGGTAATCCTCATGGGCGAGCTGACTACCTTTCAGTCCACTGCAGGTTGGGTAGAATGAAAGGCGGTCAATAGAAAATTCGTAACGACAATAAAAAATAAAAGAACAAATATGTCATAAATGAGGAATAGGAGGTGAAACTGAAAAAGAAAGCTGAGCATTATTTGCAACCTGCAGCCTTAAGTGGACAGATATGGTAGGAATCTGCTGAAGGCAATGCCACTGCAATGTTTAACTGCATGGTGACACTGGCCGCGCATAGCCCTGTAACTGTTAGTTCTTCTGCAGATGCCTGCCGGATCACACTGGACTCCAACACTGCAAATTCTGGCCTCGCCTTATCCTGCGGGAACCAGAGTGTCAGCACGGGGAACCAAAGGTCATACCTCCGGCACCCGGAGAGATTCACCTCCTGCCCCCAAGTGCTGTGTAGAGAGGCTCTGTCTGGCTGCTGCTACTGGGAGGTGGAGTGGGACGGCAAAGACGGGGTAGACATTGCGGTCGCATACAAAAGCATCTGCAGGAGTGGAGTCGGTGAAAACTTCAGGCAAGGGAGTAAATCCTGGAGTTTGCACTGCACTCAGTCTGGCTACCAGTTTTACCATAATAACGAAAATACTGCTATTTTGGGTCCATATGCTCCCAGGATCGGGGTGTATCTGAATTATAAGGCAGGAATTCTCTCCTTCTACAGCATCTCAAACACCATGACCCTCCTGCATAGGGTTCGAACAACGTTCACCGAGCCCCTCTATCCTGGGTTTTCGTTGCATACTAAATTATTTTTCAGCCAATTTGCTGCAGGAGAATTAAATAGTATTAGAAGAGCTACAGTTAAAATAGTAGATATTTGCTGATGCTATAGTCAGTTTTCATTAAATATTACATTGGAAGTATAATAAATATATTACTATATTATTATATAATAAATATAATAAATGAAACATACATTTAGGAATTGTCTTTAACAGCTAACAGAAATATATTCGTTCCATAGGGGTCTCTTTCCTACGGAGCCCCTCCAAATCCCTAAGGTGAAATTTTGTCGTCTTGTACGCACGTGTTACTTATCTGATTAAAAAATCACCATATGGAACTTTATCGGCTTCGTAAATTCCAGACTTAAGGTTTGCAAAATGTTTCCATGTTTAAAATTTCGTCTCCGAAAATTCCAACTTGTAAAATTAATTAGGAGCAAAACATACATATGGAAGCGTAGGCCTATAAGAGCAGTACATGAAACATTCTGCGCTCTGTGACAGGTATTTTCTGCGAAAAATAAAATGAAAATTATAAAATGAAAATACAATCTCCACTTTGCCATTTAGTCTATGCTAAAAATCCTGTTAACATGAAAATTAAAATGAAATAGCACCATTTGCATTTTAATTTTCAACTCATGTAGGAGTCAGATCTGGGAAATTAGAAAAATAAAATCAAAAACCCTTTTTGTCTTTTCATTTCCAGTTTGACTTTTCATTTCCTACTTCGCCTTTTCATTTTCAAGTTAAGAACATGTAAATATATATTAAGCGGAGCGAGCCGGTGGGCGGAGCTACGGGTCACTGCTGCGCTTTCTCAGTGAGGATGACGTTGTCGCTGTATTCCTCGCGCACGGTTGCCCATGTCGCCCGAACTAATGGCAAATTCACACATATCCTAAGTTAAGTACACATTTGCAGTTTCCGATCCATGTAGCTTCTTATTCGTAGCGTCTTATGTTACGGCTTAAGTTATTCCCAGCCTCCTTATAGGGGAGTGTTCTCAGCAGCACGTGCCGCACAGTTTATAGTTAAGGCATTTTGAAAATATTAAATAAAATATCAATAGAATTTTTAAGCTGTAGCACACATGTTTATGCAGGTATGCCATCGTAATGTAACACTGAAATTAACTGGCCCAGACTGGGTAGCCTGTAACACCTATCTGGCCCAGGCTAATATCAGTATCCTTAGAGTTGCGTGCCTGCTGTGTACTATGCATTTCATATTTGCCTTACCCAAGATGAATAAAATCTCCGCATTCCATTAGGAAATGTGGCTTCTTATTCAAATCAACGTGTACAATTGCTCAAAGTGTCATGCGCACTGTAAGCCTGGATAAGTTCAATTTACTTTAAAAATGAAAGGAAGCCGGTTGCCTTAAAAAGTTCACTGTAAACCCGATTAGTTTCAGTCACTCAAAAGTTTTGAAGAAACTGATTACCTCAAAACTTTCAAGATATTCAACAAATTGTTTAAAATAAGTACATAAAAAACATTTACGTATAGGCTAGTTCATTTTTTTCTTTCAAATATAGTAAACATTGTTGAATTTTGCAGTTTTATTTCACAATACTCAAATTTGTTATTTGAACTTTTTTAAAAAATTAAAGTACTATTCACTAATGATAGACATTAACCAAACTGTAATAACGGATGCATTGTTGATACCTGCGGGTGAATTGTTTTCTCTCTGTAGATAAGAGCATGATGCTGGCTGTGAGGGGTAGTTACCCGCTGCAGCACCCAGGGAGCTGGGGATTAAGGGCCCGCAGACCCACAGACTTGCCAAGGTCAGGCTGCAGCCAGCAACCTGCAGCATACAGGCACAGAGGCTCAGTCCACTGAGCCAGAAACTGCCAATCACTTTCTTTAAAAGTTCTGAATTGACTGAAACTCGTCGGGTTTACAGTAAACGTTTTTAAGGCAACCGGTTTCCTTAAATTTTATAAATAAATTGAACTTATCCAGGCTTACATGCAGTGCGACCAGTTTGCTATTACGAAAGAAAAATCAAAAAAAATTTCTGCGTAATTTCACCATTTTCATTAGAGGGAGACTCGTGAAATTCTTATTTGACATGATACTGTACATATAGCTTAAACATTTCATTCATACGTATTTTGTATTTGCAAAATGTCATGTAAACACTCATTTCAGTGTTGCCCTAACAATGGCATACCTGCGTAAATATGTGTGCTGCGGTTTAATAATTCGATTGATATTTTGTTTCATATTTTCAAAATATCTTTACTATATATAAACTGTGCGGCACGTGCCGCTGCGAACAGTCCCCTTTAAGGAAACTGGGAATAACTTAAACCGTGAAATAAGGCGGTACGAATTAGAAGCTATAAATGAATCGGAAGATGCAAATAAGTAGCTAATTTAGGCCATATGGGCAACATGGGCGACCGTGCGCCAGGAATACATTCTCACTGAGAAAGCGCAGCAGTGACCCGTAGCTCCGCCCACCGGCCCGCTCCGGTTAATATATATTTACATGTTCTGAACTGAAAATGAAAATGAAAAGTCAAACTGGGAAATGAAAAGACAAAAAGGGGTTTTAATTTTATTTTTCAATATTCCAGATCTGACTCCTACATGAGTTGAAAATTTAAATGCAAATGGTGCTATTTCATTTTAATTTTCATTTTGACATGATTTTTGCATAGACTTTGAAAACTAAATGGCAAAGTGGAGAGTGTATTTTCATTTTATAATTTTCTTTTTTTTTTTTTAGAAAATGCCTCGCATACCTGTCTGATATAAAGCGATGCAAACGGAATCTAGGCATTTAGATGCTGATCTTTAGAATTTAACGCTGACCCGCTGAAATTAAAGTACGTAACACCTCAGTGCAGCATGTGTAACTGGGGGGTTTATTTAGGTTTCATTAAATTCTGGTGTTAGGGAGTAGCCGCGGAAACACTGACTATATGACGAGAGAGCAGCAAAAGCCCGTTTTTAAAATCAGTTAATGTCTATTTTTGACTTAGCTACTTTTTTCTTGACCTCCTTTTGGTCGGTCGTTGAAATCATCAAGCACAGCAGCCGATTTATTCTATACAGCTATGGAAACTATAGGAGCGATCGGCTGTTGAAGGCTTCGCTATGTCATTTGTCCTTGCATTAATTCGTTCTTACTAAGTTTAATCATATACATGAATAATACACCTATACCTATAGGTCTGATTTACAACCCAAAAAATCACATCTTGCGGCAGGAAAACAGAATTATCCCTTTTCCAGTTATCCTGAATTGCTCCGCATCACTATAGCTCTCTAGTGAACGTTAACACGGGTACTTAAGTCCTAATTTCGCAAGGCTGTAATTGTGATTCTGCACTGGGGAGTACTGCACTATCCCTAATAACTACCTAATACAAGTTACTCTGAGAAATCATTGCGATTTACTGCGAAACGTACATACGGGTCTCAAAGCAGCTCTTACTATGAAGGTTTAAATTTCATGCCTTATTGGATGTAATTCTCTAACCTGTGCTTGTAGTTAAGAGGAGATTAATTAAAATGCCATGTTAGATTACATTTTTGCAAAGGTTTCATGCATCCTAAAGTTAAGCTCAGTGCTGTAGTGTTCGAGGGTTACGTTGATATTTTTAAGTCTAATTGAAGCGAACACCTGTAGCCTACGTGCTATGTCTATTTCCAAACCTGTAATCAGAACGTGCTATCAAGCATGCAGTCTTGCCCATGTAGATTAGGTGTTTCCTCAACGATCTCATACCGTCATACCGTATACTCTTCTAATAATGCATGATTAAATAAGACATCTATATGAATGTACTGGGAACTCGACGCTTCCGAAATGACTTGTGAGCAGAATCGAACTGACCGCGAGGGGAAAATGCTCCACGGCTTCAAATGCTGCTCTTCAGCGGCATCTGCTGGTCAAGATGTTGACGCGTCTGTCTTCTCTTTTCATCCCTCCTTCCAAATTTGCCAAACCTGTCTCCATTCCCGTCACCAAATAAAGTTCATCTTCCATTCCCCATCACATGCTTCCGTTTATACTTTCCAGAGCAAAACCTGTGTGCAGTGTCAACATTACAAGCAATGCACAACTTTGCCTACACTACATTTGTAGATTTGTAGAGAGTAATTTCAAATAAATGTAATGTAAGGATATAACACATAATTGCTCTAATAAGACATAATAATTTATAATGTGCATTCAGTGGCCACTTTATTCTGTACAGCTGCAAAGTAGTGCAAATAGCTCCTACAAACAGGATTATTTTGCTGCAGCTGAATGCTTAACAGCATAATAAAATGCAGCGTAATTGTGCCAGCATCTCAGAAACAGCAATATTCTTAGGATTTTTATATACTACAGTGTCTGTTAAGGAGCAGCATGATGGAACAGACAATCCACAGTGCAGCACCAACACAAAGGGGATTTATAGCAAACAGAACTCAGAAAGACAAGAAACTGAAAGGGACGACAAGAGGTCCAAACACAGTCAGACAGGCAAAATGAGAACTAAATCAAAGCTACGCTAAACATAAGGGAAAAACACAGAGGAACAAGACACAATGACGGACTGAGGAACAAGGGAAGGGCAGACACATTAATACATATATAGATAACAAGAGTTTCAACAAGGGACAGGTGCGGACTATTGGTAATCAACCAAACAGGACTAGGAGGATAAGAGGTGAGGGTGATAAACAATCACTACAGATGCAAACGAAAGGAGAGACTAGAAACATGGGTTATAGAACATCACAGCAAAGGGTTATAGAACATCACAACAAAGGGTTATAGAACATCACAACAAAGGGTTATAGAACATCACAACAAAGGGTTATAGAACATCACAACAAAGGGTTAT